TAGTTTTGATGAAATAATTATAAGAGGTTATTTGAGTTGCTCACGTAGTGATATAGTTGTGAAGTATATTTTAAGCAGAGTTCCTGAACATTATAGGTACTTCCTGCTATATTAAAGTCGGATGAAGGTGTGAAGTTATATATTATTGATGTGGGTGATAATAGTTCAAGGCTGATTTTAAGGGTTTCTTTTGTAGATAAACCGTTGGAAGTTGGTTCAAAGGAAGAGGATAACGAGGAAGTTGGTGAAGAGAATGTTGGTTTTAATTTGAACTACAAGGGCATTGATTCTTAGTTGAAAAATCAAGAGTATGTGGTGATTTGGGTGGTGAGGAGGACATTATAGAAGATGTTGGTCATGTGCGGCAAAATGAAAATGTTGACGAGGAGGACCCCGTATATGTTCCCACAGATGTAGAGATTCCTCTAAATACAGATCATGCAGAAGATGTAGTTTGTGAGGAAGAGAACACTGTGGTCCTTTATGCAGGTTCAGAGGTGGCAATTATAGGTAGTAGTGAATCAACTCATGTTTTTACTAATGGATCAAACTTGTGCATAGGGTATTTATTTTACAACAAAGAGGAAGTGGTGAGGAAGCTAAAACTTGTTGTCGTGAGAGGTAATTTTGAGTTCATCACCAAAAAGTCTAATTCATCAATAGTGACAGTTACATGTCGTGACCGAAAGTGCAAGTGGCGGGTTTATTGTAAAAGGTTGGCGGAGTCCGAAAAATTTATTGTTAACACATATACTCGTGAGCACATATGTGGGTTGGGACATAATTCAAGTGAGCATCGACAAGCCTCCGCTGATGTTATTAGACAATTTGTCAAAAGTTAGTTTATTGAAGAGAAATGTCCATCTCCTAACGACATTCAAAGACCTGTGCGCACAGAGTTGGGATGCATTGTTAGTTACTGGAAATGCTAGAAAGGGAGACAACATGCACAAGATTTTGTGAGAGGCACGCCGGATCACAGGTACGCAGTATTAGAAGCGTACCGTTATGTGCTTGAATTGACAAACCAAGGTAGAAAGACGGCGTTGAAGTGGGACAAGAATATGAGGTTTAAATATTTTTTGTTGCTTATGGTGCTGCTATAAGGGGTTTTGTAAACATGAGAAAGGTGTTGGCTGTTGATGGTTGCTTTTTGATGGGAAAGTATGGAGGTAAATTGTTGGTGGCCACTGCATAAGACAGTGAGAATCACAAATATCAAGTTGCATGGTGTGTGGTTGACTATGAGAAAAACAAGTAGTGGACTTGATTTTTTCAGCAATTACATACGATAGTGCCTGACAGTGATGAGTTGGGCATAATATCCGATAGACACAACTCTATAAAGAAGGGGATTGCCATTATTTACCCTCAAGCACATCACAGATTCTGTATGAGGCACCGTGGTGAGAACATAAAACAAAAGTTTAAGTGTGCTGGCCTCCTTTAGACATACTACATGACAGCAAAAGCTTATCAAGTTGATGAGTTCGAGGAGCATTTTCAGCAAATCCGAATCAAGGATGATAGAATTGCTAAGTATCTTGAGTTTGGTGTTGGTTTCGAGCGATTGAGTAGAGCTTACTTTCTTGGAAGAAGGTTCGATATAATAACCACGAACATAGCTGAGTCCATAAATTCAAAGTTGTTAATAGAAAGAGAGTTTCCAGTAGTTGCCATTTTTGATGCAATCCAGAGGACATTGCCACAGTGGTTCCATGAGCGTCGTATGGATTCAGATAATTTTACCACAACCCTTGTTCTGTCAACTGAAAAATTATTGTGAGAACGTATGGAACTGTCAAATGCACTATTTTCCTATCCTCTTAATGCTCAAGAGTTTACCATGCGCGGCTATGGTCTGGATGCCCTAGATAGCCTTCTTAGTAAAACTTGCAGTTGTAAAGTACTTGACATTCAACATTTACCTTATCCTCATGCACTAGCAGCACTGAAACACCAACAGAAGCCAGATTTTGGTTCAAGAATTTACATGGAACTTTGCTCCCCTCTCTATATGGCAAATCACTACATGTTGGCTTATTCGGAAACGATATATCTAGTTCCTTCATAAGAGCAATGGGTGGTGCTGCCAGAGTTGGTTGACATTATCATCCATCCGCCATTCAAGAAGACATAAAAGAGGAGAAAAAGAGTTAAGAAAAAGAGTTAAGTGTATTTCATCAGCCTATGAGGTTCCTCGGATTATAAATAAGTGTTCAATTTGCAAGCAACTTGGCCACAAGAGAAGCAGTTGCCAGAATCGATCATATACAAATTCAGAAAATTAGGTTCGAATCGATTAGAAGCAAGAAAGCATGCAATCCGCAGATAAGATCGGATTGCTTAAGCGACATAAGATCGCTTAAGCGATCAGCTGTTATCTGCAAATCTGAACAGCAAATAATCCACCGGAGCGTCTTCTTCGACAGTCTTTGAACAACCGCTACCGCCGGAGTCTAGGATTTAAAGTGGGTTGAGTTTTCCTTCTCTTTGTGAATATCAGCCATGATTTTGTGTAAAGAAGCTTTAAGATCGAATATTTGCCAAAAATAGAGAACTTTTATCGTCGAAAATCGCAGAGAAATCGAAGGTGTTCGTTAGTCTTTTTTGGGTATATTACACGATTAAGCGATTTTGGTGGAGGTCATTTTAATTTTCAAAATTTAAACAAACTTCCGTTAATTATAACATTACTCATATGTTTAAATCTTTTTAGTTTAACCAATTTTACATGTTTAATGAATCCTAAGTGTGCCACATCAGTTTCTCTAACTTAAAAAAAATTGCAAAATATCTTCAGAGTTATTTTTTTAAATGCAAACTTGGGAGGTCTAGCCAGTTAAATTTCCTCGATGAAGAATGTTATGCAACATATTCTTTCTAAAACCAGTTGGATCTGCAAAGCCACGCTAACACATTTGAGTATATGCAGTTTATTTTTGCTTATCCACAATGTGAACTATTTTGCTTGAGCTTTTGATGTTGTACATAACTTTGACCGGTGATATTTTTTTGGACTAAAAGTGATAAGGGTATTAATTTACATTATTTACAGTCTAAATGGAGTACTGTATTCTTTATATGATCAATTATCCCGAATCAAATTGGTTGGCTCACTCAAGACATACTTCGGTAGCTCATACTTCGCACCTGCAATAGAAATTTCATTAATGGTTAACCTCTGGGGATGAATAATAGGGAAAGAGGTTAAGGGTGGAAAGAGGAGTCACCTCTCTCGTCATAGCAGATCGTCAAATCCTCACTCTGGACAATTACACCAGCACTATCGACAATTGCTTGTGCAAGGGTTATTTCAGCTTCAGCAGCAGCTCGAAGCGCGTCCCATATCTCTGATAAGAAAACAATACCTCATTTTTCAGAATTATTCTTCCTCCACTCAACACTATGGAGTTGATTGCACATCAAAAGAAACTTTGCCTAATCACGTTGAGCTTATGTTCCCAGCAATAGCCAGAACAACAAGCATCATTGGTATACCTAAACTCTGCCACATTATTTTCCATGTTAACTTCAATTCAAGCTTCAATTACCGAGTGTTTATTATTTGTTTATTGTGCTAAGTTTGACAAACCATGTACAAAAAAACCTCCAGCTGCTCACCGTAAATTTAAAAAAGAAAATGTCTACATATCTCTGCAGTGCTAACACATTCCTAAACAGGGATGAAAGCGAAAAGTTTACTTTCTACAATTGAATCCTAATAAAGTTACAACCAGTGAAGCATCCTCACTGACTAATGAAGGTAATTTTTTTAATATGAAGGAAAGTTCCGAACCTACAAGGAATATATAGTACTCATGTCAACTTGGGATAAATCAGTAAAATCTTTCAGCTTATAAAGTAGCAGTAAGCTTAACAGCATGCACACAAACCACATAAGCAAATAATATAGATTAACCATAAACAGTGAGTTTAACTTTTAATGTATTGTCTCCGGGTGCAAACTCTGGGAGCTCAAAATTTTTTAAAAACATAAGTGATTCCTATCAAAACTACAAATGTGCAGGATAACCATGCATTTTCACACATTGCACAAGTAGCTGGCACCTGGTCAAAACAATAATATAAAAACATACTACAGTAGACCAATAAAGCACTAAAATTTGCAATGAACTATCTTGGAAGCCAGCATCAAATTATTTTGACCAGTATAAAATGCCTCCTCTACTTCCTATTCTGTTGTTTCCAATGGATCATAGCTTATTCCTTGTAACTAAAGGTACAAGTATAGTACTTTGTCAAATGAGTATAGAATACTTATCTTTAGCGAAGAGGCTGAGAATGGTATAAAAAATTTCAAATACAAATCAACAGACTGAATCAAAATTCTCATTCTATGACTTCAAACTAGAAGCAGCAGGAGCCAACAATTTTTTATCATTGCAAACAGTTGAGTCTCATCATACCCCTTTAGTCACTTTTTGAGATCTCTTTTAAGTTCTAGTGTTGCTGTGAATTCAGTGCCATAGCATCAAAGAAAAAATGCTACAGTGTCACTATCTTGACAGAGTTAATTTAGCTTTTAATTAATGTTCATACTAACTAGTAGGAAATTGTCTTCTTCCAGTGTCGATGTGATAGACATTACAATAATGCTAGAAAATGTTCTTAAAATTTTCTCTCTATACTCCCTCATCATAAGCAGGATCTCTACATCTACATTTATATGTTTTATCATTATTCACCAGTCTCCATCATTAAATTCCCTTCCCAAATAATGGTACACCCTATTAAATTCATAATCAAACATTTGCACATCCAGTTGATAATGGTTGCACACACATTGGCAAGCACATGCTGCCTACATGTGTCCAAATCTGACTCAGAAATGCACAATAAGGAAAGATGATAATGACTTCTAACAAACAGACAAATCACATTTTCCGACTAAACCCCCACAGTTGAGTCAGGAAATCAACCTTTCATAAATCTCAAAAGCAATGTACACTGTAAAAGAAAATGCTTAACAGTTGACATTACAAATAGTAATTAACTTGATAATTTTGAACTCCAATACCAATTGCCAAGTCCAAATTGTATCGCAAAACTGAAAATAACTCATTAAACACCATCAAAAAATTTGCTATCAACAACAGCAAGTACTGAAAGTAAATTACAGTCATGGAACCATACCTTTCCTACCACCATAGTGAGGAGCGGTATCCCAGAATTCATCTCGCAACTGCATAAGTTGTGTCCTCGTAATCGTTTCAGAATGCTTCCAAGGTTTTGGCTTCCGAATTTTCTTTGCACTCTCTGTGACCATATAGTATCAAAATCAAATTCAAACGAACTACTTTTCTCCACAATCAAGCTGTCAATTTCAAAAAGCTCACATAGGCACAAAAGAAAGAATATACGAGTTATATGTTTATGAAAATAAAAAAATCTCGCAGCAAAAAGCACTTAATCACATAAAATCTGGTAGATTCAACATTCCGATACAAAATTACATCTAAATTCATAATTTATTTCTTTCATTATGAATATCAATAATAAAAAAATAAAATAAAATAAAATCCGAAATTTGCAGGAGTTTAAACACCAGTTCTATAATACACATACATTAGCATCAAAACACTTTAAATTGCTGATTGATGAATAACAATAATTCCATAATGAAAATTTCAAAACATTGTAGATATTAAAACAAATAACTAATGATGATTGTTTAATGTTTACCGTCTCCTTTGGCGCGCGTGGATCCCGTACAACCCATGGAGAGAGCGGGAGAAATCTCGAGAGGAAAAATCTGAATCAATTGAATAATATTCAAATTTAATAAGAGTACCATATAAGATTTAAAGAGATGAAATGAAAGGTGAGAGAAGAGAAAAGAAGGAATTGTAAATGATGTGAATGTATGTAAAGCGACAGGTATTGACGAGGAGGAGGAGGAGGAGGTAGAAGGAGCGAGAGGCAGAGGTCGTTACATAGTCTGCCTGCGACCTTTTTGTTCTGTTGGGAAGTGGGAGTCCACCCTTTCCTTCAGGAGATCTCACTCTCATCATTCATCATACACGCGCTTTCCCCTTTTTCTATTTCCCTTCCCCTTCTCTTCCACCTCAACATTTGCTTTCTTAATTAAGTATTTTTCTTTTTTCCTATTAATTGCCCACAGATTCATTAAAACACCTCTTGATAAGATAATTATTTATTAATGATGATGCATGATATATTCAATTAATATGAAATATTGCCTTAAATGTGTACCATTCTTTATTCAATGATTTATATATAATAAGAATTTGGAGCGATTTTATTTCGAAAAACAATAATAATACTTGCAAATCAACGCTACTTTTCAGTGGTCGAGTGGCTCGATGAAAACTATCAGGTTTACTCAAGAGATCTGAGTTCAAATCTGTCCTTATCCCCTAATAGGATTAGCCACTTGAGTTGTTATTTAGTCTCTAATTTTAAGATCCCAAATGATTAATTGAAGTGCATGTAAATTAGTCCAGATACCCCGATTATTAAAAATAAATAAATAATAATAATAATATTTGTTATTTTGTCTCTAGTTTTATGTATTATTGAAATTTCAATCTACAAAATTATTATTTATAAATCACTAGCCTTATTGTCAAATAGCAAAACTTTAACCATTTAGATGAGTTATTTAGAAATCTTGTGTTCGAATCTCACAAAGTGGTCATCTATCATATTTGTGACTTACTTGGCCCATTAGGCTTGTAGGGTGTTCAATAAACTCTAAAGATTAGTTAAAGTGTACAAAAACTGGTCTGAATACCCCGATTATAAAAAAAATTATATTTAAAAACTAATAACATAACCTAATCTCATAATAAATTGCAAAGTCACATTATTTCACTTATTAAGCGTTGCTCACCCGAGTGATTTTTACACCTTAGATATTAACGAATAATATTACATTTACAAAACATTATCATAGTATCATAAGCTTGCCTTTTCTTATCATATTTTATTTTCATTTCTCACATTCTGTTAGATGTAGAAGTCAGATCGGATAATCTCTTTCGTTTTGTGACAAAAAGAAACTTAGACGTAACGTAAGGAACTGTTTAGGGATACATAGTACATACCACATTTTCTGTAGCATGAGATAACCTCAATCCTCAAAGGTGGGATCCTCCGTGATGAAGAAGAACAATTGTCCTTGAATTGCGGTGAGTGGAGATAAGAGTTTTTGAGTAAAGGTAACTGCTTTAGAGTTGATGATTGAGAGAAATCTTAGGACCCTTGGGCCTACCTTCTAACTGATAGACTTCTTGGGCTTGGGCTATTAGTGACCCAATTATTACTATTAGGCTTAGAGTGGAACTATCGGCATTCCACTGATAGACTAAAAGAGCCCATTTCCTAAAACATCCCATTTTAAAGTTTTAAAATTAATATATATATATATTTTTTTTTTTTTCAAGAGAGTTAACATTTTATTTCTATTCACTTATCCTTTATACCCGCACACCATTGTTATTCTTAAAATAAAATTTTAAATAATTAAATTGAAAGTTAAAAAATCAAAGTACAAAGAATTTCAATAATTAATACGAGCATCATTTTGAAGAGTATCTTTCATATAAATAAAGAGCATTTTCATTAATTTTTAAATATAAAGAACACAATTATTGTTCAAATCCAATAGACTTTTTAAATTTCATAAAGATGCTCTTTATTTTTAAGAAAGATACTCAATGGGAGAGAGAATTAATAAATAAAATGCATAAGAATTTGTAGTTTATTAATTAAAATTATGATAGAGCGTGAAATTTAACTCTCTAAATGTAGAGAGTCAAACTTACTCTCTAATTTATATTTTAAAGATAAAGAGTATGTTAGACTCTTGTTTTTATGAATAGACTCTTTATAATAAAGAGTTTTGATTATATAAAGAATCATTTAGAGATGCTCTTGAACACCATAAAAAATACATAAATTAAAATAGCTATCAATACTTTTAACAAAAACAACAATAAATTTATATGTAAAGATGTTATAAACTTACAATTTTGTATTGCTTGTAACTTGATATATCTCATGGCAAATCTTCTTCATCCATTAAACTAATAGTAAATTAAAATTAATTTTAATAATTTAATATAAAGATAAATTTATCATTATAAAATTTATTAAAAAGTGGGGTCTTTTTAATCCATTAGTGGAGGAATAATACTTTGGGTACTAATGGATGAGTACTAATATGTGTACTAACTAAAGCATAGTACCCGTACTATGCGCATAGTACGGGTACTATGCTTTAGTTAGTACACATATTAGTACTCATCCATTAGTACCCATAGCATCACTCTTAGTGGAGTGTCAATAGATCCACTAACTCTTAGGCTTATTACCTATGATTAAAACTGGAGGGAAGTCATTTAAGCCGGCCAATTTTTGTTCTAAGTCCTCATTTAAATCAAATTAAGAGTGATATTATAGATCCCAAAAATCACTTACCAAATGATGTGTTATCTTATTTGGCATTGACATGTCACTTACGAAATCATCACTTTATTTATATATCAACATCACATAAACTTACACATCATGTGAGATTATAATTTTGGGAAAACTTTTGGGATATGTAATATTATTGTAAAATTAATCAATGAAATTAGGTTTTGTAAATCTTATCATATTATTCCAAAAATAACCATTTTCTAATATCCTGTGTTCTATTTTATTGAACTCTCACCCTTCAAATAGTTTCTAATGTTATTTTCTAACTTGGGATTTATAAACTAAAAGAAAAATAGAAAAAATAGCTGATAAGACAAATTAAATTTTTTTGTTTGGAAACGTATACCACTCGACTTTGGCCTATTATTGTAGATACAATGGTAACAAGATGCATTTAAGGGTGTGTTTGGTTCAGAAAATGTTGTATTACTGAGAATGTTATATTAATGGAAAGATAGATTAACTTAAATATTACTATGAATGTTTATGGAAATATGTTTGGTTATGTTGAAATAAATTAGTGGGTATGCTATGTAGATCACTAAATTGTCCCCCTTTTTAAATATTAATATAATATTAAAAATAATATTATATTAATAGTTAACGTTAACGGCCATGGATCTGACTGTTTTCGGCCAAATCTACGACCATCAATATGGTCGTGCTGGTGTCCAGTGGTGGTCCTGGGTGGCCTGTAATTTGTTTTAAATATAAGGGTATTACTATCCAAAAACTTAATTAATTAGGGGTAAAAGTGTAATGGCAGCATCATGTAAATTAATTTCAAAATAAGGGCATTATTGTCCAAAATATTTAATAGTTAGGGGTAACATTGTAATAAAATTAAGATTACCAAATAATCTTAAAATACCTCAGAAAATTGAGGTAATTAGATTACCATCTATATAACCAACAATAATTACTATTGATTTTGGAAAATTACCAAAATCTTTTACTATTGGTTTTGGAAGATTATTGGAATCTTATATTACTTAACAGCCAAACATGGTACTCTAAGTAATATAAGATGACATTATCTAAGTAATGGGGGATTGCATGACGTCACTCTTAGAATTGCACTTTGAACATTTCATACCCATTAGATAAAGCAATAATGCTACGGACACCGATTAATCTCACTGAATTATTGTACTGACTTATGTGAAATCCGAGTCAAACGTGGCTACGTTGGACACTATAACACGTCTTCCGTAAATGAATGGTAGTCCAACAATTATAGACGCTCGTCCATATTTGATGGACGAACGCACATTACAAATGGACGGTTGTCCACCAATTTGGACGAAATTTTGAATGAAAATAACAATATATTGTCGTTCATATTATATGGACGAGAGTCCATTTCCTATGGATGAATGTCCACCTTGAATGGACGTCTATCCATAATGACTTGCAGTATTTTTAAAATGAGGAGGAATGATTTTTTAAAAGAATGGTGGGCAACCATTTTCAATGGACAGTCGTTCGTATCAGAGGGACGATCGTCCATTGAACAGCGAGGTAAATAATTTTTTTTTTTTTAATTTACAATTTTTTTCAATCATGCAAATAAAAACAATATAGCTTGTCTAATGCGCTTCTACAAATGAGCACCAAAATTCTTAGATGAAATAAAATAATAATAATAAAACTTTATTTGTAGCTTCATTTTAAAGCTAATACCTTGCAGCTTCATCGTCTCATCTTTTCTTCTGCGCGTTCTTGCTAGAGCTTGTTAGTCTTCCACGTGGTATTGGCGGTTTCTTTCTCAATAGCCATAACAACCAGCTACTGTGACAAGAAAGTCACTAATATTTCACATGAAAGCCACCAATTTTTTTTAGAGAGATTCGTTTAGGGTAGATAGGTAGATCAAACTTTTTTTAGGTTAGAAATATTAGTTGAGGTACTTAAGAATTTTTGACTTAATTTATGCATTTGTTTAGTTTCGTATTCTATTTTGGATTAAATATATGTTACAATACAAAATAACTGATAGACAATATTTGTTGGCGATTGTTGTGAACCAGATTCGTAAATGCGAAAACTGGTATTGGTTTTGCATGAAATTATGGAATATGGAAGAGTCCAGTTTGCCTCATTTCAATGATGTTAAGGTAAATTATGTTCGAAACTTTAACTTTGTCGTTAACATGAATTTAAATTTGTTGTATCGTATTGTTTCTTATGATGTGTTGTATTAGTACATTCTAATTTTGTCCATTATAAAACCATTAAATCAGGAAAATGAATGTGATGAATTAGAAGATATGAGATGTGCACAGGAAGAAGTGGAGCCTCATATCGGAATGGTGTTTGATTCAGTTGATATTCTAGTGAAGTATTACAAAAGATATGCTAATAAAACAATGATACGTACGTAACAAAATGGAGATGATGGGGAGATGAGATACATGACAGTGGCGCGTTTTTGTTTTGGGAAGGGTAGATGTGAATCTAGAAATACCTTGAAAAAGAAACCTGTTGCTAAAACGGATTGTAAGAGTCATATTAGTGCAGCTTTGAATGGTGAATGCAAATGAGAAATTAAATCAATTGTGCTTGAACATAACCATGATCTTACAAGTCTGATGAAAAGA